GTTGCATTGAGTTCACAAGCCATCCAATAACAGTATAATTTTCTTGCATCCATTTTCATATGATCATCTTTTGAGGGAGCCTTTTTGCTCCCGAAGATAAAATTCTATTTGCCTCTACCGCAGATATGAATTTTTTCTGATTGTGACCAAGCCAGATAGTTAGTTCCATCTAGCTTGACTGTGGTCACAGCCAGTAGAGGTCTACAGAGGCTCCCAGAACTTGTCCGGATTCAGCAACATGCTCGTTTTCAACTTCTAAAGGGTTCATCTTCTTAAAATACTTCGAAAATAACTTCTAACAACTTCGAATAACAAAAAATGAAGACAGAAGAAAAACTGTATTGTGAGTCAACCTCTATGCGTCGTAGCTACTACCTGCGTCATACCCGAAACCCGAGAGAAACAAAGAACTCTCAGCCGTTCCTTGTAGACTTCACAGAACATCAATCCACTTGAATAGATCTTCAAGACAAAGGATGAGAAGACTTTTAGTCACTGAGCGCCTAGGTCAAGCTCCCTGTGGGGCCCACAATTAGATTTCTCTAGAAAATTAGGGTTTCGGGCAACGCACTTGAATCTGTCAGGAGGACGACAAAACCAGTCCCCTTCTCTCCAAAAACCACTAACAATTGGGCTGAAATAGGTTTCTTTAACTATTCATATGATTCAGTTCTCCATACACACTGTGTGTGGGAAAAAAGAGGTGAAAAAAGGAAAAAGTCGAGCCTACTCTGATACCAAGAAGAAAAACAGCCTTTTGAAAAGAAAGAACTGTTTAAATGTTGCAGAAAATCAAAAAGAAAGTAGCAGAAATCAGGTTTCAAGAAGAGAGAAGAGGAAGAAGAAGGTGGCGACAACTAGGGTTCAAAGAGAGAGATTTTCGAACATAACCTCCTCTCTTACACCCTAATTCCATTTCATTAAGTAAAACTTTAGTAATTTACAGAGAGGCCCCTAGTTGGGCAGAAAATTAAAAAACAAATATAAGAAAGAATAAAAGCCCAGATTAAGGCCCATTACAGCAAAGAACGTAAAAGATAAAAAAGATAAACAGCCTATGGGCCATTCGGCCCATCTTCTCTACAAGAACAATGCTTTGATTCAGAGTTAAGAGGAAAGAAAAGTTCACTAATACCAATATACCTCTTAATGTAATTATTGCACTTTTAGATGTCAGATATCAGAGCAAATGAACAGGCCCTAAAAATTGTTATTTTATGCTTGGACCAGTGAAGTTCCATTAACCTTACACTTTTTCTAAATAATGATTTCTTATTGAGTCTTTCACTTGTTTCTCATAGATACGAACTCTGGGCATGCTACGGTCAAGGTTCCAATCTTTACCTGGAGCTTTCAATGCATGTTTGGTGCCTTCTGATAAGGTCGAGAAAAGGGGATTTTCTTTATCAAGGCGTTTCGCTAAGGTTGTAACTTGTGTTGGAAAAAACAGACAATGTTCATCTAGAATGCTAACTTCATTAGGTTTACTTGAATGTATAATGTTTGAATTTTACTGCCTTCATAGGTTTCAGCAAGCAAGAGAACTGAAGCTGCAAAGTTTGCTCAACTATGGAATGAAGTGATATGTAGTTTTCGTGAGGAAGACCTTATAAATTATAGGAAAGGCCTCTGAATTCAGTTGTATTAGCTTTGTCTATTTTACTTTTAGGATTTATCACACATTTGGACATAAACTGGGTTTCTTTTTTTATCCAGGGAGATGGATCTGTTGCTAGTCCCTTATTCATCAGATCCTAGTTTGAAATTAATACAATGGCCACCCTTTTTACTTGCTAGCAAGGTCAGTATATTGTTCTTTTAGATCATTCCTTATCTTATTATATCTGAGGGAGGCCACTTTGTGCAAAAAGTGCCAAAGGTTAGGACGGCATCCAGTTTACCCCTTCCAAGACCCCAAATAGCAGGGACCAACATTGCATAATAGCTTTCTTATCATTTCTTATTGTCTACTTGAATTTATTTTTTGATTGTTCATGCATGTATGCAGATCCCAATAGCTTTGGATATGGCAGCTCAATTTCGATTCCGTGACTCTGACCTTTGGAAGCGTATATGTGCTGATGAATATATGAAATGTGCTGTTATTGAATGCTATGAATCTTTCAAGCATATCCTTGATGTTTTGGTTGTTGGGGAGAATGAGAAAAGGTGATTCTATTTTGAGTCTAACATGTTTAAAGAATGCAGGCTTCAGATGAACAACTTTTTTATCTGCATTTTAAAATTTAGATTTATACTATGCATGGCCATTTCTAGGAAGCCCTTCTTTGTATTGAGTTTTATTTTCCTGGATACAGTTGACAGTAGGAGGAACCTATGTTAAAATATCAAGAATCACGTATATGGAAAGGAAACATTTTTTATTACTGAAGAAGCATTAGAAAACTTCAATCTAATGATGCTACCTTTTATTTCAAATATTTGTCATATTCATGTCCAAACTTATCTGCAACCTTATCCATTTCTAACTCTAATTTTTCTATGTAACAGGATAATTGGTATTATCATAAAAGAGATTGAAGGTAACATTTCAAAGGGCACATTTCTTACTAATTTCAGAATGAGTTCTCTACCTACTCTTTGCAAGAAATTTGTGGAGCTTGTGGGGATCTTGGTAAGCAATCCATTTATCAGTACTGGCTGCTTCCTAGAGTAGTAGTTGTTGTATATGCTTAAGTTTCTTCTTTGTAATATGGTTTATGAGACTCATATTTTACCTTTTTCCTTGCTACAGAAAGATGGAGATCCATCTAAGCGAGATACAGTAGTATTATTGCTGCAGGACATGTTAGAAGTATTTACTCGTGATATGATGGTGAAAGAGATTCAGTGGGTGAACAGTGGATTTAACATTATTAAAGTAGCCTTAAATATACATTGTTTAACGTACAATGCTTTCTTTCTATAACATTGCCAAAATATTATTTTTCAGTGAGTTGGTAGAACTTGGTCATAGTAACAAGGATGCAGTCCCCAGAAGACAACTGTTTGCTGGCACTGATCCAAAACCTGCCATAATGTTCCCTCCTGTAGTTACTGCACAATGGGAAGAACAGGTACCTTATTAAAGGGTGATTTCTTTTGAACCATAATTCCATCTTAAACAATAGTATATAAATCTACTTGTATTGTGTAGATAAAACGTCTGTATCTCCTTCTGACGGTAAAAGAGTCAGCCATGGATGTCCCATCCAACCTTGAAGCACGCAGAAGGATTGCCTTTTTTTCAAATTCTTTATTCATGGATATGCCACGTGCACCACGTGTCCGTAAGATGCTCTCATTCAGGTATGTTTCTGTTTTTCTTTTAATTGGGTATAAGATGTGCATTCACTAAAAAGTATAGTCGATTGTCTTCTGCTATCATAACAGAAATCAAATCCCTTTTAAATCCAAAGATTTATATTATTTATAGCTTTTGCAAGTTTTAGGATCCAATTAGTTTATTAAAATAGGGTTCTTGGAAGCAGGGTATTGCTTGCTTCATTGTCATACATTACATAGAATCCCCAGCTGATTCGCTGGCAAAGGTCTCAAACTTTCAATAACTTCTACACATATAGAACTCCATGTCCTAATCTATCTTTTCCATTTATAATTCTTAACAATATCATTTTTTTTTAAATAATGCAGATGGGTAACAAGAAACTGGTTATTGCTTCCTATTATTTGAAAGAAATCTATATGAGGTGACACTATAATATATATTACAGAACATCTAATAATGTGTTCTGATCATGTTGCCTTTTCTCATGTGCCTTCCTCTCGAGCTACTTCTCCCTTTTCCAGAGCTATAGATATTTGGGATAGATTTTTACCCTTTGAGAAATTTTAACCTCTAAAGTAATCATTTTTCTCTTAGTAATAGAATCTCTATTGTCATGCATAAATTAATTTTTTTTCAAACTTTCCAAATTTACCTTTCTTGTACGAAAATGGCCTCTTCTACTGATGTAAATGTAATGTTGGAACTTAGAACCCATTAAATGGGGGGACCATTTTTTTCAGTCTATGTACCATTTTTATGATATTGTATGATTAAGAGAACAACAGAATAGACGGAGATAATTCTTGTAACTAGGACTTTTCTTCTGTCCTTGCTTTGTGAACAACTGAATCCATGTTATTCTACTTGCTCAATTCTATCTGATGCCATATATTCACGACCTACTCTCAAACTGTTTATGAATTGATAGGTAAAACTTCCTGAATATTGGTCTATTCTGTGACATGTTCTCTGTTTCTTCCAAGAATATATTCCTTACATCACATATCAGGACACACATGTTTTTCACGCATGAAGTTGCATATAAACTATAATATTCAATTTATTTTGGATACTTAAAACTGCTTTTTGTAAACAAAATAGTATTTTGTTGGATAAACATGTCTAGCTGTTGACAAGTGACAACCTGTCAGGAAAGAGAGTCGGTACCTTCCCTTTTCGCTGCCAAACATCATTAGCATCATTTCTCCAATGGATTGAAATGAAAGAGATGGATTAGCTTACATAAATATGCACACTAATATGAGAGAGAGAGAGAGAGAGAGTGAGAGAGAGACTGAGGAAATAAAAGAAATATATTGGACATATCTCCTTCAATTGCAGATGAGTCCTGAAAGAATTTCTAAGCACTTGACCTTGTGAACTTTGCATCATTTGAATCCTTCTCACCTGGATTATATGCAATCATTCTGGACCTGGAGTATATTTGATTTTCCATGGAAATTTGCATAAGATCTAACACTAGTACTTATTAAGTTCTTCAAATATGGAAGTAGTAAAGGGCAGCTGGAAGGCATATAAATAAAAATACGGAGCTTTGAAATTTTACATGAAGATTCAATTTAAGGTTATAATGAACATGAAAGCAGGCAAGTCTCTATATAACCATTTGGGATAGATTATAATGAACATGGAGAAGCCTCAGGTTTATTTTCTCCTAGATGACTCTTTGCATACAAATAAAAATGCTGTATCATTTCTGACTTCATCTATTGTATCAAATTCTAGTATCACTGCGTCATGTGTAAGAAGGATAGTACAGATTCTCATCATGAGTAATAATTCCACATAGCCAGAATAGTTTGGGTTCTATATTGTTTGGCTATTTGATATTTGATTGGATAAGAACAAGTGAGATGAAGACACCTCTATCTTGTTCAAGGGGATCTTTTCTGTGTTAACAGAGTATCCCTTTGGACGTTCTTATACTGCATGTTGAAGCATTTGCAAGGAACATAAAAGATATTTTCCAGACAGAGATCTACCTTGTTGAATTAAAGCTTCCTTTTTTTGTGCATTAGTGAAATATCCCCATAAACATGACTATACTGTATTTTCAAGCATTTGAAAATAACATAATAATAATATATTTCCAAGACAGAGAGTTGTATCTCTGTGGATGTCAGCTGTCTTTTTCTTTGGTGGTCAATTATTCTTTAAGAATTTGAAGATCTCTAATGGAGGATTTCAAACAAAAATTGTCAGGTTTGATTTTTAGGTTATTATCCATGTCATATTCATAGTGCTTCCTTTCTCTTTATTTTATTTTATTTGTTTATTCTGGGAAAGGATGTTGGTGGATACCACTTAGATTAAAAGGAAAATTCTATAAAAAAAAAATTGTCAGGCCAGCTATGTTGTATGAATCAGAGTTTCGGGTAGTCAAGAAACATTCCCAGAAAATGAGTGTGGCAGAAATATGCTAAGATGAATGAATGAAAAAACTAGAAAGGATAGGATTAGGAATGAAGTCATCCATAGGAACCTAGAAGTATCTCTAAAAGGTGATAAAATGAAAGAAAGTAGAATAAGATGGTGGTCATGTGCATAGAAGACCACCGACAGCTCTAGTTAAAAGAAGTAATTTATTACAAGTTGAAGGGGTAGACCAAAAAGGACATGGGTAGAAGTAGTAAGAAATGATTTAGGCACTAATTTAAGAGTGGATATGGCTTTAAATAGAATGGACTGGTGAAACAGGATTCATGTATCTGACCCCATAGTTGGGATAAGGCATGGATGTTGATGATGATTCTGAGAGAGGATATCGGTACTTTGTTTCCCTGTGTATGTGCTTGTATAATTTACTGCTCCTATAATCTTTCACTTCATCAGAAATTTCAAAATACTAGGGAATCTGGTTAGGATAGAATTTGAGTATTTGTTTTAGGGGGCCAGGAGGAAAAGTAGAGGATCTGTTAAGGGAAACACCATGAATGTGAACAAAGAGAAACTGAAGAACTAATAATCAAGAACAAGAAATCAAGGCAAGGTTCTGTTGAGTTGAGTTTAGTAAAAAATAAAGAAGGGTTCATTGGTGAGATCAAGGCAATAAAGAAGTCAATAGTTGTTTGGGCCTCCCCAATCAAAGCATCAACCAGTCATTACCTGATTATAGATATGTCAATTTCAAAATGATTTTCCTAATGATATTGTTGGTTAACTAACGGTGTTAATTTCATCTTAATGCTATATGTATATATATATATATATATATATCATTATAAATAATTTTGAACTTTTCATAAAATAATTATTTTCCTATGATACTGACAAAATATGGCATTATGGATTAATGCTCTCTATTTTCTAAAAGCATCCATCTTTAGCATCATGTTCATGTGTTGTATATATCTTACATTGACCACACTAATCTCATCTTCCAGATTATTAGTACAAATTTTTCTCTGAAGTTTTCTTCTACTTGATGGACATTCATCAGATTTGTCAGTTCTTTTAACTCAATCAGTTAGAGGTTTAAAGAGTTTGAATAGTGATGCCAAATGGGGTCACCTGGATTTCTAGACATTGGGTCATTCTCTTTAATGCCATGGGAATTGTGCAAATGGCATTATTTTATGTAAATGATCTTGTATTGAAGAAACTTCCTATGCAATTAAACAAAATTTCTTTTAACAATATTATTTCTTAAAGACATGTGATATCTTATTTTCATTTTCTTGTTTTATATATATAGATACATACCATGTATAAGTATTCTATTGGAATACATATTATATAATTTACAATTTAATTACTATGTAATTTGCACTGGCAATCAGGAAATCTGTTGGGGATTGAGGAGGTTGCCAAAGCTTGCCTAATGCCTATGCTTCTTTATAGACATGTCCAATGTGCAGTCCTACAAAAGATATGCATCCGTGAAGACTGAAGAGATAGAAAATCAAGCTTAAATCAAGCTTAGCAAAAAATGACCTATTTCTTTAGCATTTTAAACAGGAAATTAAATTACTTCTCTACTTCGAATACTTTTACAAGGGACCTAGAGTTCCATTATCATGTATGCTATAAGATTTTAAAACCATTACATGCCTTGAATTTGCAGCAAAGTAATGCTTTACACTGTTGCAAATTGCCATTCTTTCATTATAGTGTAACTGGATGTAATCACTTTCTACCTTTTCATGGATATTTATTTGTTTTTGTTTTCCATTTCCAGTGTTATGACTCCATACTATAGTGAGGAGACACTCTATTCTAAAAGTGACCTTGAACTGGAAAATGAAGATGGTATATCTATCATCTTCTACCTACAGAAAATCTTCCCAGGTTTTAAATACACTCCATATCTATCTTTATCAATAATAATTTTAATGTCAAATAACATCAATATGATCAATATCACTGTCACAAACATCACTTGACCATGTCAGATGAGTGGAATAACTTCATTGAGAGGCTCAATTGTAAAGGAGCAAGTGAGGTTTGGGAAAATGAAGAGAACATTTTGCAGCTTCGTCACTGGGTCTCATTGAGAGGACAAACACTCTGCAGAACAGGTAGTGAATGAATTATATGCTCATTATATGTTTTTGCATGTTTCACCAGTATTAATTGCATCAGTTCCTCTAAACTGTATTGGTGCTGCAGTTAGAGGGATGATGTACTACCGAAGGGCTTTGAAGCTTCAGGCTTTTCTTGACATGGCTTCTGAAAGTGGTAGAGAATGAGATTTCTTTAAAAGTTTTTCTGGTGAAGTAGGTAAAATTTTCATGTAAATTCTTTGTAAATCTTCTGACACTTTATATTTTGAACACTGCAGAGATTTTAGCAGGTTACAAGGCAGTTACAGTTCCATCAGAGGAAGAGAAGAAGAGCCAGAGATCCCTATATGCTCAGCTAGAAGCTGTAGCTGACATGAAATTCACATATGTTGCAACATGTCAGAACTATGGGAATCAGAAACAATGTGGAGATCGCCGTGCAACAGATATTTTAAACTTGATGGTTAAGTATGTTTTCTTTCCATGAAGCCAAAACTCAACTCAACTCAGCCTGAATCCCAACTATTATGGTTGGCTACACAGATCCTGTTCCACCATTGTGTTCTATCAAGAGCCATATTTTTTGTCAGATTTTAAGTCTTAAGGTCACTTATTACCATTTCAACCCATGTATTATTTGGTCTTCCCCTTGCTGTTTGGGGCCTTCTAGTTGAACCAAGTCATTCTCACTGGTACGGTCATTGATCATCAATGCACTTGACTGAACATCTCCGTCAATTTCCTTTCATCTTGTCACCGATTGGGGATGCTCCTAAGTCCTCTCTAATGACCTCATTTATAATTCTGTCCTGCTGGTCTTGTCACCCATCCATCTCAGCTACACTAAATTAATCACATAACACAGTAGATGCACCTCTCCATTTGAGCCAACCTGCCCTTATTCTTTGAGTAGCATCCTCTTCAATTTCTCCCTTTCTATGAGTTGTTGATCCAAGGTGTGTTAGTTTATGGTATCTCCTGTTCATCATTCTTATTTGCACTATTATTGTTACTACCATTTCACTAAATTGCAAAACTCCTTTGCAAGGCCTTTTATTGAAGTTTATTTTTGATATGTTAATCTACTCAAGAAGCTAATTCCCAGTGGTCCTACAGCAACCCATCTCTTCGTGTAGCATATATTGATGAAGTTGAAGAAAGCGAAGGTGGTAGGGTACATAAGGTCTATTATTCTGTGTTAGTCAAAGCTGTTGATAATCGTGACCAGGTATTCAGCCTTTTAAATTTGATCATATCATAATTATTGACTATATCCTGAACAAATATTTAATATTCTTCTCTTAATTTTCCTTAAAAAGGAGATCTACCGTATAAAGTTGCCGGGTTCAGCAAAGATAGGGGAAGGGAAGCCTGAAAATCAGAACCATGCTATAATTTTCACTCGAGGTGAAGCTCTTCAAACCATTGATATGAACCAGGTACATCCTAGGGACCATGGGATTTATAACTTTTAAAGTTGCAAGGTGGAGTATTTTAACTTTGCTTCAACTTGTCTGATATAGGACAATTACTTGGAAGAAGCTTTTAAAATGCGCAATCTTTTGGAAGAATTCAATGAGGATCATGGAGTGCGTCCAGCTACCATTCTAGGTGTTCGTGAACATATATTTACTGGAAGGTTGAGTGATCTTTTGATCTTTGGGAGCTATAAGATGCTTAACGCAACCATATATATGTCTTATACATGAGGTCCTCTGGTTTGCAGTGTGTCTTCTTTAGCTTGGTTTATGTCCAACCAGGAAACCAGTTTTGTTACCATTGGTCAAAGAGTTCTTGCAAGACCTTTGAGGTAAGTTGCTTTCCTTTCATCTTCATAATAGTTTATTTATAGAAGCACTCCTCATCATGTTTGATTTTTGGACAGAAATTACTATAACCTATATTATCTCATCTGAATAAGAAATAGTACTTTTCATGCATTAGATTACTGGAAATAATTTTATACAACTGTAATAGTGGTCGGAATTTATCTTGTTCAAAATTCTATTGGGTGGTTCCAGGGTTCGATTTCACTATGGTCATCCAGATGTGTTTGATAGAATCTTCCACATAACCCAAGGTGGCATAAGTAAGGCTTCTAGAGGCATTAACTTGAGTGAGGACATCTTTGCTGGTAATGGCTTCTTTCTTCTTAAAATATTTTAATTTCTATTGATGCATACCATTTACTCTAATTTTGGATATATATTTCCTCTCCAAAGGTTTTAATTCAACACTAAGACGTGGGAACATTACCCACCATGAGTACATCCAGGTTGGAAAGGGGCGAGATGTTGGGCTCAACCAAATCTCACTATTTGAAGCAAAAGTTGCCTGTGGCAATGGGGAGCAGATACTCAGCCGGGATATCTATCGGCTAGGCCACCGATTTGATTTCTTCCGTATGCTGTCATGTTATTTTACAACAGTCGGGTTTTATTTCAGCTCATTGGTAATGGCCCCTCTTAATTTCTATTTATATACCTTGCTACAATCAGACAGAAATCTGCATTGCAATTAGAGCCAAGATGAATTGGAAACCAAATCAACTTATTAAATTTCCTTTTCCTTTATGTATATAAATTAAAATATCCAAGAACTAAATTAAAATATAGGAGCTGAAAAACTATGAAAAGTCGCTCCAATTCCTTTTCCAAATAATATCATGTTCAACCCTCTTTTATACATGAATACACATATGATGAAATATGTTAATCTTACATCTCTTTCCAACTGTTACTACGCTTATTTCCAGAATCTCATACACATATCATGTACATGGTCAATCTCAACATACTGTTTCAATGTTTTCATCTTGTCTGGGATAACATTTATACCACAAGTTTACCACTTGTGTGCTAAAAGTGGCTTATGATATAATCAGGTTTAACTTCAAAGTCAATTAAACAAATCCATGAAGGTTTTTCAACCCACATGTTGATTGATAATAAACCCAAAAAGGTCAAGCCAATTAAATTTGAATTTAACGTGTTGGATAAATTCCTTTCCTTTCATAAAGGGACTAAATGGTAAGATTCAAAATTGGAGCCCTTGGAATTCACTAATCAAACCATAAGATTTTCACAATATAGGTTTGGCACCTTATGTGTATAACTGTGTATTACCCAGGTTTGGCACCTTAATATCTACAAATAACATGGAAGCTAAATAATCTACACTCTATGGAGTCGTGTGAATCATCAATTATGATCGACTTTCTGTATGAAAAATAGCTAATATGTACATAAATTGGATGGTATGAAATCCATAATTGTACAATGATTTACTTTTTTCTGCAGATTAAGGTATAAATTAGTATGATGCATAAGCTACTTTCAACCAACAAGGCATGACCTAGAAATGGATCAGAGTGAATTTTCATAAGGATTTATCTGAATCCAATCTGATAAGAATCCAATAGGTCAAATATGATTCAATATCTAACAGATATGCGAAACATAGATCCAAATTCAGTTGATTTTTATATTTGAACATCTGATTCAATTAGAAACTAAACAAATCTGTACAGCACTAGCATAAATCTACAAAATTGAAAATATAAAAGAAAATATGTATTGAGAAACATACCACAATAAGTTTATATAAACCCCAAGTCCCACTTGATCTGAAAGAACTTCAAATTTAAATGTTAAAAATGTTCCACCTTATGATTTAGCGGATATCCAAATACAACTTAAATAGATCTGGTTAAATCCAATCTATTTTCACCTCTAAAACTAGATTGATCCAGAATTTGATGTGCATAATATCAGAAAGTTCAGATCTCACAGAACCAAATTCTGGATATTCTGTTAAAAATACATAATCCTCTCCTAAAATGAAAGACCAGAAAGATCAATCATTTGGTGGCTGGTCTTTCCAATTTGGAGGCTCAGATATTTGTTAAGGTTCACCACTCTTGATATTGCTTTTACATTACTAAATTATTCATTTTTTTTCTCTGTGCAGATGGTTATACTTATAGTCTATGTTTTCTTATATGGTAAGCTTTACTTGTCGTTGAGTGGATTGGAGAAATCAATAATTAGGTATGCAAGGTCCAGGGGAGACGATCCTCTTAAGGCAGCAATGGCATCACAGTCCCTTGTTCAGATAGGTCTACTGATGACCTTGCCCATGGTCATGGAAATTGGACTAGAGAGAGGTTTCAGAACTGCACTAGGTGACATAATAATCATGCAGCTTCAGCTCTGTGCTGTATTCTTTACTTTCTCTCTTGGGACAAGAGGCCATTATTTTGGGCGTACAATCTTGCATGGGGGTGCCAAGTACAGAGCCACTGGGAGAGGCTTTGTGGTGCGTCATGAAAAGTTTGCAGAGAATTACAGGATGTATTCAAGGAGTCATTTTGTTAAAGGAATAGAGCTAACGATATTGCTGATAGCATATGAGATTTATGGAGCTGCAACTACTGATTCTGCTTCTTATATGCTTCTTACAAGTTCAATGTGGTTCTTGGTGGTTTCTTGGTTGTTTGCCCCATTCCTTTTTAATCCTTCAGGTTTTGAGTGGCAAAAGATAGTGGAGGATTGGGAAGATTGGACTAAGTGGATAAGCAGCAGAGGTGGTATTGGTGTGCCAGCAAACAAGAGCTGGGAGTCATGGTGGGATGAGGAACAGGAACACCTACAGTATACTGGGCTCAGTGGACGGTTCTGGGAGATTGTTCTTTCTCTACGTTTCTTTATCTACCAGTATGGAATTGTATACCAACTTCATGTGTCCGCCAACAATAAAAGCATCATTGTAAGTCAAAATTCCAATTTATGGCCTTTCATTTACATTTTTAATAAGCTCTCTAGCTATTTTGTTGCATTGACAAAATCTGCATGGTGCATGAATGAAGAGATCATGAAAACAGTGCATCATGGAAATCATCAAAATAAAAAGGAAAAAAAATGTGCCATCATGGAGATTATTTCCTCGACTGCACCATCCACCTGTTGCAAAAGTGCCAATGTGCCATCATGGTGCATGAATGAAAAAAGTACATGCATTATTTATTCAGGATGTGAAGGCCCTGATTTTGAAAGATTATTTAATACAGTAGCAGAATTATAAGAGCGATATCTAATTTGATATTGGTTTTTCAGGTCTATGCTTTGTCCTGGATAGTCATTTTGGCCGTGATGATCATCTTAAAGGTCAGTACTCAAAGTTTAATGACCAAAGCACATATCAGAAGTCTTTGAGCAATAGATAAATTCCAGCTTTTGGTTTTCTATCAGGAGTTCTAGTCTCCCTTGACTTTACATAATTCTTTTGGATTGCAGATTGTATCCATGGGTAGGAAGAAGTTTAGTGCAGATTACCAGTTGATGTTTAGACTTCTCAAGTTGTTCCTGTTTATTGGGTCTATAGTAACTCTGGTCATCCTGTTTACATTCCTTAGACTCACAGTAGGAGACATCATAGCCAGCCTATTGGCCTTCATGCCGACAGGATGGGCAATTTTGCAGGTATACTCTTAATCTTGAAAAAAACAATACTTGTATCATTATGAAATATAACTTCTTAATCTGCATACTGAAAGGTGTATGACTTCTTCCAATTGATATTTATCATACTTGTGAGGGTATTATTGTATTGTTAGGTTTTGATCCAAATCCGATATTTGAATGAACAGATATCGCAAGCATGTAAGCCAGTGATGAAGGCATTAGGGTTGTGGGGTTCTGTCAAAGCTCTAGCAAGGGGGTATGAGTACATGATGGGTGTCCTGATCTTTGCGCCAGTGGCCATTCTTGCATGGTTCCCATTCGTATCAGAGTTCCAGACAAGGTTGCTCTTCAACCAAGCATTTAGTCGAGGACTACAGATTTCACGCATTCTGGCTGGAGGAAAAAAGCAGAACTGAAATTTGTAGAGTGATATAAAGAGATAGGTAGATAGATAGCTAGAGAGAGAGAGAGAGAGAGCATGTTGGCATATGGCTACGGGATTTTGCGAATAGTGTCTATAAATCTGTATGTGGATAATTTCCTTACAGTCCATGCTCTAAAGCGAACTAACCTGTAGATTGTTTTGGATCTTGTTGATCAGTGCCAATTCATGGTTTCCCATAAAGCCTCAATTTTAAATCCTCCACTTTGTACTGACTATCCAGCATTTCCTGGCACAAAATGAATATTCACAAATCAATAAAATTCACATGTACGAGAGAGAGAGATTCGCTATCTGATAAATTCGGATCTACTCCTCACACCAATCTTATGTCTTAGCTACACATTGGGAACATCTTTTATATTTGTATTTCTTATTCATGGAATATGTTTCCAATACACGGTGGGATGTGACTGAGATGGGTGTGAGGAATTCTCTCTGAGGAAATGATCCCAATTCCCATCAAGGAACAGATATCAATTCCCATCTGACTGCGAAGTGAATGTATCGTATAACATACACTTTTTAGGGTGCAAGGAAAAACATATTGCATTTAATTTCCTTACCAATCAGCTAAATTGAAGTAGAAAGAGCTTTCATGACATTCATAATTGATTAAAGTCAATCCAAGTCCAACTTAAGTATTAAAGTTTATAATTAAATATTAATACTAAAATTAATTTTAAAATTTTTCTTAATTGATTATAATGATATATTAATTATATTTTCAATTTTATCAACTGCCTACCCATAAAATTTTAAAAGGAAATAAATTACGAAGATTAGAGTGGGAGCAAAAAAGAAAGAAACATGAGTAGTGGTATCACCTATCACAACCAAGTTTTAAAAAGGCTAAAGGTGGAGGCAAGGCGGTTGGATGCTAAAGAGGTGAGGCATAAGCCTCGAGGAGGACTTGTACCTCTGTACGCACAATTCGATGTCTTCCTCACTCCAATATTCTTGGTCTTGAATCTTGAATTCAGTCTGTGAGAACTGATAAGTCTTCTTGAAATCTTGAGTTTAGTTGAACAAAAAAGGGGGAATAGCAGTTTTGGTCGATGAAAACCCACATTTTTTGGGATTTTCACTTTTTCTTTTATTTTTTCCAAAATTACCCATCATGAATTCAAGTTTTCCCACCCAAAATCCTAACATGAGGCGGTAAATTGAGATGAAAAGCCAACTAAAACTGAGGCTTACGCCCCTTGAGCTGAGACTGAGGTTACCAAGGCCAGGCGAAATTTGGCCGCCTCGCCTCAGCCTTCTTTTAAAACCATGACCACAACTCTTTAATCTTAACGCTTCTACTTAGGAGATAAATCGTTGCTTTTAAGAAATGCACATGCATTGACCATCTACCAATGGAATCCTATCTTCCTTCGTGCTTTTGTTGTTGTTGTTCTCACTTGTGAGAGAGCATCCTGTAGCTTGCAAGCCATAACTGTGATATGGGCCGTTCATTTGTTCTGCACTGCGGATTCAGATTCCAATTATATGTCTCATTAATCTAATTGATCATAACCCACTACATGATTATGGCCTTGTTAATCTCTTGAGTGGGACCGAGAATCAATCAAGGTTTCCAATCCATTCACAAAGTCACATGTGCTCACCCCTTGTGCTAACACGCTTTGCTTAGTGGTTTTGGTTTTGATTGTACAAACTATACTTTATTTTAAGTTGGTAGCCAGTATGAGACCTGTTTACGGGCTGGGTTCAGATTGGGCTTTGCTTTTATATTAATAAAACATGTTTAGGCCTGAGCCCGAGTCCGGCCTGACCATTGGGTTAGATCTTGAGTCCAAGCCCAAATCTAATATAAAACCCGAAGCCCAACCAAGAAGTTGGACAAAAAGATTTTTTTTTTTTTATTCAACAATAAAACTGAGAGCTTAACCCAAACCCATGGACCTAACCCAACCATGAACAGACAAGGATGGCCCATGAACAGAGACACTATATTGGATAAGTTCACATTTATCAAAAATGGGTTCTTCCTTGTATTGAAAAACCACCCAGAAAACCCATCTTATTTCTTAAAAAACGGGAGGTTCTATTTCCTAAAAAAAATTGGAACAGTTAGAGAGAAACCATAAGCGTGGGTATCTTGGCTTGAAAAGCAAATAAATGTGGATATCTTAATGTTAGTTTTAATGTAATTTACTAATCACTTTAATCGGCTAAAGTATAAAAACCTCCTAAGATCTCACTTTAACAAAATCTTCCTCTGTCCCCAGTTTCGAAAAAACCTGCAGTTACCTTACCTTACCTCCGCGATTGTCCTACAGAGAAATGTTGGCCTAATATATATATATATTTTTTTCGCCTTATGGGGCTACACAACAGGGGTAAGCCCACACCTGGTGGCAGCGGGATTTGATCCCAGGTGTCTACTCCCATGAGTCGTCAGAGAACCTACCCATTGAGCCACCTGTTGGTTTAATGTATTTTTTTTTTTAAATATTCATTTTACTCTTATATCTATCATTTTCAGATGAAGATACTAAAATACTGCTGAAAGAACATTTAATTTTTATTTAACTAAAAAATGTCTAAATTAGATTAAAAGAGTAAAGTAATTTTACTTTGTAAACTCATCGAATGAAATCTGAAAGGACAAATCTAGCATTTTGAATTATATTGGAAGATACCCTAATAAATAGTAAAGACAATTTTGTAACTTTTGAGTCTCTAATATTGGAACAATGATGGAAGGGACGTAACTGCAGTTTTTTCAAAACTAGGAGGAGATTTTTATTTTTACCTTCATTAATGTAAGTATTTTAGGTTAACTAAACCAGGTCGAAATTGTGAAAAATACTAAACTGGTTTTGAATGGGCCAAAATAGATAAAATACTAAACTAGCTTAAATAACTAAACCGGATAATTTTACTAACAAAAGGAAAACTAAACTGGATCAAAAATATTATATACCAATTGAACCGGTTCGAAATTACAATATAATAGGGATCGTGTTTTGTTATAGGGTATGGGCAACCCTTGTGCTTTGATAAAAATGGGTCATATCTTATTCACATGTATGCACTTAAACAGTGTAATTTACAGGGCATTCAAACACCACAATAATCTATATCTATAATATAAAGAGGAATGTGTGAGAGTTGAAACGTCTGTCACCACAAGTGTCGCACGTTTCTCACTCTTCACACATGTGAGCTGTTTCAGTTGAATGACTAAAAGAGCCTCTACATTTTGATATCAAAACTCTTATTTAAGCACATAAGCACCATTTTTTTTAAGTATGGTTTATTAACTAATATTGAGGTTATTTTCATCTTTTACTGTCTTTATTGTAGTGGAAGAGGATTTAGGTGGCCTGGCACGAAGGCTCACGGGCTATGCCAAGCCCGGCCCGGCATGGCACACCGCCCGTGGCCCACGAACCGACACGGCCCATATATATATTTATATAAAAATATATATTTTATATATAGTTATATAATAATATATAGTATATAATATATTAATAAAATAAATATTTTTTAATTTTATTATACTAATTTATTTAATTTCTACATATATAAGCAATTTTATACACAAAATTCATATAAAATTAAAATTTTAAGTTTTTTGTCAATTTTTTTTAGATAAATAGCTTTGGCCCGATGCACAACTCAACTTGGTCCAAGGCTTGGCCCACGAGCCAACCTAGCCCGCGGCACGGCATGGGCCTGGGCTGACCCCCAAATTTTTTATCGGGGAGGGCAGCATGGCCTGCGAGCCAATACGGTTTGTGTGGGCCGCCCACAGGTCGTGCCATGCCAGCCCAACACAGCCCACTTTACACCTCTAAGTGGACTAGTGGGTGCCGAAAATAGGATAAATTTCTCCACAAAATCTTCTCTTGGTGAAACCCACTCCATGAATTTATTAAAATTTTCCGTTATATTTTTAAATATAATGGACATATCCATAGATTAATTGCCTCTTAATTAATGCAGATTCAGTCATGTCCCTCTTATTGCCTTTTTAGTTTTACCATTTTCTTACTCTTAACACTTATAATATGCATCAAATGTGGTTGATTCTTATCTCCTCCTAGGAGTAAGCCACTGCTAGCAAAGGAGGAGCCCTTAGTTCTCAGTTCAATAGGTATATATAAATTAATTTTTTTTTTTCCTTTTCTTCTTCCTCAGGGCTTCACCCCTTATGCTTTCAGCATTTGTGTTTTTCATGTCCTTTGGTGCTCTATGTTTTGTTCTAATAAAATTGATAGTTTCTTCCATTAATATTCACTAGGTCATTTATTTTGAATTGAATTCTTTTACCACACCTTTCCTTTTAATCTTTTAATATATATTTTTTTTCCAATGGTTATGATAGCATTCTTGGTCTGATGGATATTTCCAAGTTCCAACAACTAATAGGAAAAGGCCTTTAGAAAAAGTTCCAATGGTTATGATAGCATTCTTTATAGTCAAAATTTGATCAAAGCCCTAATTTTCAATTCTAACTAACTAAAATGACATTTTGTCAGTATTTTTAATCTTATGGCTAATGGAAACAGTTAATGAGATTGGAATTTGACCGTATTTGACCATAATTTTACAAATAATTGAAGAGTCTGAAAAATCGTAAATGCTAAATGATATGCTGAATGAATAATTTCTAGGCATGTGAATGAAATGATAAAGATTGAACGTAAGAACGAACTTAGATGTGTGAGATGGGAGATGAATTGAACGAGATTTTTTGACTAAAACGAAAGGACAGTTGATTCCGGATCTCCTATCCATCAAACCTTGTTTACGTTTATACAGTATATCTCATTCTTTGCATAATATTATGCAGGGGAAGATGTTCCCAATTCACGGGAGTAGTGTGTTATGAGTAGACGTGAACAGAATTCTCATAAACAGAGGAGAGTTAATAAATGCAACTATTGTAAATGACAAATAGGTGAATGCGATAGATATGATTATGGGAGTCTACTAAACAGAGCCATGCTGCACATTTTTGAATTAAAATGATGAACTAAATCAAGGTAGGCTTATTAGAAAGCTAAAAACAGAAATTAAAAAAGAGAAAAAAACAACAGACATACCTCCAGGACGTTTACCAAAAGTTAAACCTTATTCCTTTAACCATCGATTTCAACCCAAAAATATCTTCGGAAAAGTATGGATAGGTTTGATGCAGATTTTTGAATTCTATTATGTATTTAAAATATCAAAAACCCCTATTTTATACATCAAATTAGGGGTGATCATTTCAGCATGGCCCCAGAAATTCCGGGCTTGAGCCTGGATTTTGTATTCAGGTCCGGCCTGGGCTCGGGCCCACAAATTTTAAGGCTGAGTTTAGGTTTAATATTTTAAGCCCAGCTCAAGCCCAGGCCCGATCCGCATGTTTAAATTTACAATTTTGTATATAATATATACATATTATTTTACATTATATTATATATTTTATATATAAATATTATAACATGACATGTAAAATTTATATTATATAATATATAAAATAAGTTTATATATTATGTCATTTAATATATAGATATATAATGTTTTATATATAAATGATATTGGTCCAGAATCAGACCCAACCCAACCCGAGCCCGAAGCTAAACTATAGCCCGGCCCGGCCCGGCCCATTATCCCCGTACACCAAACTCTAAAGTTTAATTCTGCTCAGACGGAAGCGGTTCCAGGATAAGCCTATTCTGGTCTCCTCGTCGTTGTCTCAAACTCCATGTCAGGGGTTTGGTGAGTTTTACACACGTGCCATTTAACTTCACACGATTCTTTAATCAATCCAGTCTAGTCTCAGCTCTCAAGTCTCACCTACCCACTCAAAGCTCCTTCTTTGTCCTTTCTGGCTTTAGAGCAAACAATGATAGGCCGTAGGCGGCAACAAACCAGAACCAGATTACCAGAGAGAGTCTCCTCAAACCAATCTTCCTCTCTCTACCCATCCCTGGTGCTAATTCATGGCTGCTTCTGCCACCCCTCCATCTCTTCACTTCTCTCTCAAGGCTTCTACGGACTCCTCTTCCACTCGGACCGGAGCGTGTGATTTGTTTCTTCGATGCCGGAACCGCGATCTCGTTCTTGTCTCGTCCCGCTCGGCCTTCGTTTCGTCCGGTTTGTCGGGACTGAGTAGAACCTGTGCGCCTGTTTTGAAGTCCGGTCGAATTCCAACGAAGATTGAGGCCAGTTCAGCTCCGGTCATGGATCAGTCGCAGCGTAAGGCGAGCTCTAGACTCTCGACGATTGTTGATGTTGATTTGGGGGACCGCAGCTATCCCATATATATTGGTTCGGGACTGCTTGAAGAACCCAATCTTCTTCAGCGGTAATTGATTTTATCGCTTTGTATCTTTGTTCATTGGAGTTGGGTTCATGTGAAAATTTGATATTTTCTGTTCAATCTTTCATTTCAGCATTCAATTGATCTCCAGTATGTTGTTTGTAACAAGTGTATGAATCATGGATGTTTTCTTCTTTTTAATAAGCTTGGAGTTTAAAGCTGTATTATTTTCGTTCCTTCTATTATAGGTTGCAGAGTAGTTAACACCATAACTAGAAATTGGTATTCATGGTGTGAAATTTTGTTAATACTGATTTTGGTTCATAATATAGAAGAACGAGGACTATGGTATATGGTTTGTGGTTCCGGATGAACTTCTGTAATTTAAATGAATGCGTATTATATTGTTGAAGGCTTTCTTATTTAGTATATTATTTATGCATTTTTTATTACTCTTGTTATTTTATCAGGCATGTTCACGGGAAAAGAGTTCTTGTAGTCACCAACACCACAATTGCACCATTATACCTTGATAAGGTTATTAATGCCTTAACATATGGGAGCTCAAATGTTTTGGTTGAGAGTGTAATCTTACCAGATGGTGAAAAGTATAAGGACATGGTAAGTACTCAAGGATTGCAGTTTCCATTTTTCTTTTAATATATGGTGTTTGCAGTTGACGTTTGTGATTGTTTTTGTCAATAGGATACTCTCATGAAGGTTTTTGACAAGGCTATTGAATCCCGCTTTGACCGGCGCTCTACATTTGTTGCCCTAGGAGGGGGTGTTATTGGTGACATGTGTGGATTTGCTGCTGCTTCCTTTCTTCGTGGTGTAAATTTCATTCAGATTCCAACTACTGTAATGGCACAGGTCTGTTGCAGGTCTATATCTTCTTCTCCCTCTAAGCCAACCATGTATGTCTTTAATGTTTCAAATGACTTCCTCTCTCCAGGTAGACTCTTCTGTTGGAGGCAAAACGGGAATAAACCACCCACTGGGGAAAAACTTGATTGGTGCTTTTTACCAGCCCCAGTGCGTCCTTGTAGATACAGATACCTTAAACACATTGCCTGATAGGGAATTAGCTTCAGGATTTGCAGAAGTTGTAAAATATGGGCTTATTAGGGATGCAGAGTTTTTTGAGTGGCAAGAGAAGAACATGCAGGCACTATTAGCAAGGTATAATAAAACAGATATTGCATTGTCTTTCAATATTTATCCACTTACAGGATCTCTAATTGTCATGTAGGAATATGTCTGTGTTGTCTCTCAAAATAACTAAGCTGTCTTTTGATAGAATTATTTCACAAGTTCCTAGAGAATATTATAATGGACTTTGTTTCTTCAGGTTATGATAGGCCAATTTTATGGTTTTCCTTCCTAAGATATTCTCATATACAAAATTGTTGATTGCTGGCAGGGATCCAAGTGCACTGGTTTATGCTATCAAGCGTTCATGTGAAAACAAGGCTCAGGTTGTAGCCTTAGATGAGAAGGAAAGTGGATTAAGAGCAACACTTAACTTAGGTCACACGTTTGGTCATGTAAGTGTTGAATTATTGTTATTTACTATAAACAAGTGCTGAGTTATTTTTATTTACTGTTTATTCCATTTTACCTTTAGAATCTATTGTTATTTCTATTTATTTACTGTTCTTCATTTTGTTTTATTTGCAAACCAAAATGTAGATTTGACAGTTCTTACTAATTTCTTTGGTAGAATGTTAGGTTGTACATTATGCTGAAGCAGTAGAAAAGGTTTTTTATTTTCCTATTATTTTTGCAACTAGACAACTAATTAGAGGTCCATCCTCACAGTTAGCAGTGCTCATCAAGTTAACTAAGTTTCCTAGTATAAATGCTGGGTAGAGCTGAATGACCTTAGATGCAACCTGAAATGACATGCAACCCAAGAATCCACAAGAAGCCTATCCTAATCCCACTAGAACAGTGCACCCCCACCCCCCACAAGTTGCCCTTCCCCACCTCTCTCTTGGAGAGGTTATTAGCCACTGAGTTATCTTATCTCAGGATTCATCTAAACAAGATGTTCACTATGGAATCCAACATCTTTTTAATGTTATATCTCAATCTCCAGAGCTTGCAGACTCATCTTTTATCCAACCAATCAATCAAGGATACTAGCAGAAGGCCATAATCTTCTCTCAAATAGAGTTGCCAACACTGATATGTGAGAGTGAACAAGGGTATTCTCACCCCTATGATTCTCTCTCTCTCTCTCTCTCTCTCTCTCTCTCTCTCTCTCTCTATATATATATATATATATATATATATATATATATAAGGATTAAAATATTGATATGATATGCCCGATATTGGGCGCATCGTATCGGTATTGGACTGCACCAATACAGGATACGCTATGACTACAAGTGTATCCTACCAATTGTGCGTATCGGTCTGATACGCCACCATATCGGCGTGTATTGCATAGTATTGGCCGATACAAAAGCGTATCAACCAGCGTCTCACAATAAAAAAACGGGGGGAGTGTGACTCGAACCCAAGTTGGTGAATGCCCATTACCCAAGTGTGCATGTGCATTAACCACAGAGCCATTTGTTATTTCATGTTAATATGTGTAATAAAATAACATTTATTAAACTTAATGTTTACATGCAAATAAAAAACAACATAATTTATTTCAAAAACTTCAACTATAAATTAAAATGAATAATATTCAAAATTAGCATTTTATAAATCAATGGAATAAATAATTTATAAAATCCACATATATATTATCAAAAGTGAATTTTAATTTCAAAAATTTATACAAATAAAATATTTATAATAGAATAATTATTTTAATACTTAAATTTTATAAATTTGCATATGGTATATATCTTAAGTTTTTATAAATTATTAATTAGTATTTTAATTTGCATTAAATAACAAAGTATTGTTTACAAAGTATTTGAAAATAGAAATATAAATTGAATCTATCAAATCCATTAATCTACATTTTATATAAAAAATAATTTTTAACTTCGAAATTTTATAAAAATAAAATATTAATAATGGAATAATTATTTTAGTAATTAAAATTTATGAATTTTCATATGATATGCGTTTTCAAAATTTTAATAGATTCGATATATTTTAAGTTAAGATTATATAATTTTATAAATTATTAATTGATATTTTAATTTACATTTTATAATAACACATTTATTGTTTAAAAAATATAAATATTATTTATCGAACATGTAAGAATTAATTTTTTAGTTGAACTTTTTGTTAATGTTAAAAAATAAAAATAGAAAAATAGAAAAAACGATATAATAATTCAGATATAATAGTTGCATATGCTTTATGCCTTACACTTTAATAAATAATAAAATAATATTGGCTTTTTGCATGTATTAATTTGTAAAAATCTATATAATATTTGCCTTGGACTCTTGATTGAAGCATTATTAATAAAATTGTATAATATCTACATGTCCTGTTATATTAATTATAATATATTTCTTCATATGTGTATATGTATATCATTTAAATATACAATTCCTATATATTTATATATTATTTATAGTTGTTTTAACATTAAACTTAATGCTATTAATATATTTATGGAATTTGTGTGCATTTTCTTAGCGTATCCAAGCATTTCCATGTTTTTTCGTTCGTATCCATGTGTTTCCCAAGCGTATCCGTATCAAAATTGTCCGATACGATATCTGATACCGATACTTTAATCCTTGTATATATATATATACTTTATTCTGGTTCTGTTTAGAGAAAAAGGATCAATGTCCTATTTATACATTTATTTTTCAAAGTGAGGGCAAAATGGTCCCACGCTTTAGTTTCTTTACATTTGCAACTTTTAACTTACTTGTACCTGCTCATGTGTCAGGCATGGTTCAAAGTATTGGTATGATATGCTCCAATGCCTGGTTCAAAGTATTGATATGATATGCTCCATATTGGGCATATCATATCGATAATCGATACTTTGAACCTTGGTACCAGGAAAGTCAACCTTTATTTTAACTGTTGAAGAAGAGGAAAAAGAATCAAGGGCTGTAAATTTCAGGAAATGAAGGCAAGTTAGGTGTGATTGTGAAACTTGACCTTGAAAAGACATAAAATAAAGTTGATTGGAATTGCCTTCTGAAGTTTATGAGACTGATAAGTTATGGTAGAAGGTGGATGTGGTGGATAATTGGGTGAATAAACTTCTCATGGTAAAATGGGGCCAGTGAATTAGTTTGGGCGTTGGCAGAGATGTTCATATCTCTCATCTTCAATTTGTAGATGACATTTTAGTGTTTCTGGGGGCTAATGAGAACATATCTAATTCAAAAGGGGCTATCCATTGTTTTGAGTTGGTATTAAGGCTTCGTATTAACTTTTCCAGAAGCAGAAAGTTTCTGAGATCCGCTGTTGGAGAAATGTAAGAACAAATTGGCTACATCGAAAAAGGACTACCTCTCCAAAGGGGGGAGGCTTACACTCATTAAGGCTTACTTGGCCAATTTGCCTACCTATTATCTTTCTACTTTTTGCATCCCCTTCAAGTTCTCTACCCAGCTCAAAGAGCTTCGGCAGAACTTTTTGTGGGATGGTGATGGAGAGAAGAGAAACCATCTTGTGAGTTGGAGTATGCAAACATAAAGAAGTCGGTGGACTGGGTATTGGTCATATAAAAGAAAGGAATACAGCTCTTTCTGGCAAATCTTTGTGGAGGTTTCCTCTAGAATCAAATGCCCTCTGATCTTCTGTCATCACCAGAAAATATGGGAAGCATGCCAATGGCTAGGATAGACAAGTACACTTGAACCAGGTCAAAGACATCAACCCTTGGAAAGGTATAAATTCCACTTACAATAGTTTCATTTCCTTCATTAGATACAAAAGGGGGGATTGGAATATGATTGAATTTTGGATTGACCTTCGGTGGGGTGGCTCCACTTTGGCTAATTTCTTTCCTTGATTTTTTAGCCTTACCCTGAACCATGATGCCATTATATCTTTTTGCTTTTCTTCTGCTTCTTCTCAAAACAACTGGAAGCTGAACCTCAGAAGACCCCTAAGGGATGTGGAAATTAGTGAAATTGCTAATTTTTATCCACACTAGGGAGATTTACATCTCTTCCTGTGCACCTGACACCCATATTTGGACTCTACACCCTGCAGGCAAGTTCTCAATTAAGTCTTATTTTAAGGCTCTGTTTGCAATAGAGCAGGCCAATGCTCATTTTCCTTCTAAGAGAATATGATGCTCACACATTTCGTCCAGGGTCTGTTTCTTTGTGTGGGAAGCTTGTTTTAATTTTGAAAAGAATTTTGGAAGAATTTGTTTTTCTCTGTATGCTTGCTGTTTATGTTCAAGTGATGGGGAATCATCCGACCATCTCATGTTTCACTGCCAGGAAACTAGGAAAATATGGTACTACTTTCTCAATATGCTTGGCACCAGTTGGGTTTTCCTGAGCACATGCATCTTGGGTTTCATGAGGCAATGGAAAGGAAGAGGCCTTAGGAGAAGAGGAAAGATTCTGTGGAAATCCATCACTGACACTGTTATGTGGAGTTTATGGGAAGAGAGAAATGACCATATTTCTTATAACAAGGCTAGATCTCAGGAAGATCTTCTTTCTCACATCACTCATTAATGTTTCCTTTGGGCCACTAGCTCTGAATCTTTGTATGACCTCCACAGGATTATTGCTATCTTTGTTCTCCCATCCTAGGTCCTGCATTGCAGCATTGCCTCTTGTAGTATAAGAACCAGTGACAATGGGGAGATGACCCTGAATTTTCATGGAAATGCCTCTGGTAATGTGAGTGAAGCTGGTATTGGAGGTGTTTTCAGAGGGTGATAACATTTGTTGGGCATTTCGTGTATCAATTGGGGTTGCAACTTCAACTAAAGCAGAAATTATGGCTTTTCTTACTGGTCTCTGCATAGCCAGAGATTTGGGTTTCCTGAACCTAACCATCAAAGGAGATTCTGGAAACACTATTAAATGGTTAGGAGAAATTGAAAGTGGTCCCTGGGGTTTAGAACATTTCTTGGACAAAGCTAGAGATATTATCATTTCTATGATGTAAATCTGTGTTGGATCCTAGGGAGCTAAACCCTATAGCTGATGGCTTAGCTAAATCTAGAGCTCACAGGGATTGCTTATGTAGTAGTAATTCTCTACTGTGTAGTCCTGTGAGAGTCCTTTGCTCTTACTCTGATGTACTTGATCTCATGTACTCCTCTTTGTCTAATGAATGGATTCAGTTGCCTTTCCTCTCAAAAAATCTCAGGAAAATATGAAATTCTTGACGAGGGGGATGGCATGAAGGTATGGGTGCTCATTTATCACACGTGTGTTTGTGTGTGTGTTATTTTATATTATGATATATTATATCATCATCATCACCTTGTCCCAACTATATGGGGTCAGCTGCATGAATCCTGTTTTGCCATTCCATTCTGTTCAGTGCCATATCCATTATTCAATTATGGGCACTTATCATTTCTTATTACTTCCACAGTTTTCCCCAAGATCTTATTGCCCCTTCGATTTGTAACAGATCACTTTGCCTAACAAGTGCAGTAGATGGTCTTGTGTGCATGTCAACAAATCATCTCAATCTACTCTCTCATTTTATCACCTATTGGAGCTACTCCTAGATTTCTTTGTATGACTTCATTTCTATCTCTATCCTTTCTAGTTTTACCATTCATCCATCTAAGCTTTCATATTTTTACAACACTCATTTCTTGGACAAGCTGTTATTTATCTGTCCAGCACTCTGCTCCATAAAACATAGCTGGCCTTACACTTGTTTTATAGAATTTTCCTTTTAGCCAAAGTGGTATTTGCCTATTGCACAAGACTCCGGATGCACCCATCTATTTTGTCCATCATGCTCTAATTTTATGGGCAACATTCTCAGTTCTTTGTTAAGAATTATTGAACCAAGGTAACGGAAGACATTTTATATATATATATATATTATAAAATATTGTATATATTAAATATAATCTATTAATAACATAGGCAAAGCCTAGCCTGGCCTATGATGATCCCTTAGCGAAGATGGACAAGGGGTCAAGGGCACTATCCACATGGCTAACTGACAGGAACCCGTCAGATAGAATGCTTATTCATCTTGCAAGCCTACCACACGTCAGAAAATCCCTGTCACTGCATGCTTCAAAGACTACCATGTTTAAGCAGAATTGTTTTGCCTTCATTCACCTGTATGATTGTCTTCTATTCGAAACACAGGCTTGTAACTTGTCTTGAAAAGAATAGCATTATGAGCATAAGATTGCTGACTGGTACTTATTTTTTTTTTGATGAATCTGACTGGTACTTAATTATGATATTGGGTTTGAACACATACGTGCAGATGATTCTCCAACTAATATTTTCATCCCTTGCCATACACAGTCCTTTATCATGAGCAATTCTCTCTCAAGTTTCATCTCCAATTAATATTTTTATCCCTTGCCACTACACGGTCCTTTATCATGAGCAATTCTCTTCGTAACTTTACCATATTCTTTTTCAGGCAATAGAAACTGGGTTTGGTTATGGTCAATGGCTCCATGGAGAAGCTGTTGCAGCTGGCACGGTACTACATCCATTGCTATCTACTTTGACTTTAATAATTTCAAGTTCTTGTTTTATGCTGAATAAAACAACATTTGAATTTGCAGGTCATGGCCGTGGATATGTCATACCGCCTTGGGTGGATTGATGAATCTATTGTGAGGCGAGTTTACAATATTTTGCAGCAGGCAAAGCTACCTACTGCACCACCTGATATGATGACTGTGGAGATGTTCAAGTCTATCATGGCGGTAATAGATCATGAAAAAGTCTTTTTTTTTTTGTTCTGAATCTAATTTATGTGGTCCTACCTCTAATGAATCTGTTACTTTTGGAAATGTAGGTTGATAAGAAGGTGGCTGATGGTCTGCTAAGACTCATCCTTCTAAAGGGTCCTCTTGGTAACTGTGTTTTTACAGGGGACTATGATAGGAAGGCCCTTGATGAAACTCTACATGCATTTTGCAAGTCCTGATTCCAATCCAACCATGACTGGATGCATCCTCAGCCTTTGGCATTTTTTTCCTCCAAGCCGTTCTGTTATATAGAGTGATATTTACATGTATTTTAGATGGCGTGTTTCATTGTCTACAGTTAAAACATTAAAGGAAGCCTTGCCAAATTGTTTGACAGTGCCTTGCTAGGTATTGTATCTTGATTTATTAGATGGATTCTTTCATATGATTACGACTCTGTAATTCTGTATTTGAACGGTGACGTGGTTTCTAATAAAGCTCAAAAATTAATTCTGAATCAAATGGCTAAGAAACATCGTCGCAATGTTGATATTTTTTATTTATGTAGTTTTCTTTTTTTATGGCAATCCTTTAAGGGAGGGCCTGCTCAATGGTTGTTACTGATCTTTACATGGCAGGGATTTCAATTTTAGAAGAAATATCATAACTCTCTTGATGAGGACGCCGATTTATGAAAAAAGTAAAGTCATGCCATGCATTAGCATTAAGGACCATGCCAAACGTGCAGAGAATGTATGTCTGCCTGTCTATATCTATCTCTGGAGAGTATTTCTTGATAATTCATATTTCTATTCAAAATGATCTCAAACAAATTCTTATTCTTGCAATTCAATAGGATGCTCAAAAATGACGAAAAAAACCTGCTGGCACATTCGCCATATTTCTTAGCAGAAAAGAAAATGTTCATCGTATTCATATTCAATACTCCGATCTCCGTGGAAGAAAACTGCCCATTCCCCAGGTCTTGTCCAAAAAGTATCAAGTCTCCTCCTTGGATGAACTCAATCTACGTGCAACTTCTTGATGAACCAGTGAGAATACTGGTAAAGCATAGGAGTCAGGATTCATTTAGGGGCATTTCAATCATGAAAGTGGAAGAAACAAAAAGAAAAAAAGAAAAAAACGATAGTTTAGACACGTACAGATTCTCAGTGGATTTGTATATCAGTTTTTGAATCTTCCAAGTATTGTTATGAAACTTGAGAAGTGCCCACTTTTGGAATCCATTGTTTAACGCAGCGGGTTACATATAATCCAAACTTTAAAGTTATATCAAACTATTCACTTCTTAACAGTCCAAGTCTCCAAGATACAATGTAGACTGGAGAGTCAAAATCGACTGGCAAACCAGTATTCCACAAAAGCCTTGAAAGAATTACAACAATCGAAGTCTGGGAGACCACTTGAGAAATTCACAGGGAACTATATTTCCCTAGGATAGGACTATTTTCTATTGATCTTGAGCCATTTGAGTAGTTATATTTTTGTTGTAGCTTCTGTTTTCTCTAACTTACCAAGTATAAATGTAAAAACTGTTAATCTGATGGCGTGTTAGGACTTTCCTGAACTCTAAATTCTGATCCTGTGTACAAGAAGTGGGAAGGTTCTATATTTCCCAATTTTATTTAAATGGGTTGACCTTATTTTTCGTGTTCATAAATCATACTTGAAAGTTAGCAGCATATAATTTAATCCTTTCATTCACGAGTCACGGCATATCCATTCTATAAAGATTTTCACGAACCCCAAACTAGCCGCTTTGTATGTCACGGACGTTTCCATGGTCCCGAAAAAATGACAAAAACTAGTAAAACAAAGCCTCTTAAAAAGCTTAATAAAATCACTCACAAGTCACAACTTCAAAAGCATCCCAACCTCAACGTGAGAAATGCCACGAGGAAGAGGAACTAACCTATTGCATTTGCAAGTCAATATTTCAAAGTCTTAACTTTTTTGGTTTGCCTGTCCAGAACTTCAGATACCCTCAAATTTTGCAAGCATTTTGTGCTTCAGACATCCTACTGCATTTAGAAACATGCCTGTAGAAAAATGTCTATGTTCACATGTTAGTTGGCTATGTTAGGGTATTGAACTGCTAAAACAATGACTGCAGATAAATGGCTAAAATCATTCGAGAAAATTGAGTACAAAATCATGGAAAAAGCCTCCCCAAAAGAAAAGAGAGGAGACCCGATTGATAAAAGACAAAATGGTATTCCTTATATACACAACAAATTTTGTGGTAGCCTCCCTCAGTTACAGTGGTCATGATCAAGAAGAGGTTACAATATCAAGAAATTCAGCAGCCATGCTCCATACTTCCATACAAAAAGGACTGCTACCCATCCCTTCCTCCAAATTCATCCATTTGGACAATCTCAATGGTCTCACAACTTCATTTGTTTACATGGGGAAGCAAAACAAGAGATTCTCTCATTCTCATCCAATCTCAACCCCAGGAAATGTATCCATCAGTCTTTGAGAAAAGATAAGTATTACATCCTTTTTCAACAAATTGCACTTTTGATCCAGGAGGCATTAATCATGACCACGAAAATTTTGTTGTGTTGGTCCTTACGTGTCCTCAATAAGGTCTTGCTCTTGGGGACCCACCAGGAGTTGGGGTTCTTATTTGGGGGCTATCCCACCAAACATCAGCAGTGTAATTTGTATTTGGTCTTGTTGACAAGGCTGAATAATCAGTCATGCCATAACTACTCTGTGCTATAAAGGGATAAGATAGATGAGGAGGGGAAAGAAAATAACTCCTATTTGCTGTGCAATGTTGTCGTAATGGACTTGAACAGGGAGAAACCGGTAATGACATGTTCACTCTTGCACTATCCCTGCAACAAATTATGATTGTCAAATTATTACGAAGTGAAGAACGAAGGACCTGTTAAATGTACATTTAAGATGGGATTGGGATGCATACCTTGAGATTTTTAAAGCTCTTGAAGATGTAACCACTGGCTTCATCGCATAATCTCCATGGAGCGAGGTGGTATTTATCCCCTTAAAATGGAATTCAGAGGTTGGCTGCTTCAAAAGCAAGGAGTTCAAGTCAAAGACTGGCGGAGGTTATCATTCACCAACACAATAATTTTGGAAAATAAATGGAGAACACCTCAAATGAATAGCTATAAGGTACTTCCAAGCAAAATATGTCATCTTAGTTTATTTGGATTATATGAATTGTTGAATATTTTATCATTAACATGATTGAAAAGCCATATTGATATGATAGAAAAGATAACCTCAGCAATCCAGAAGGAATTCCTACTATCTTCGTTAATACAAATTACTGAAAATATTCACAATATTGGACTGGAGATGCTAACCCACTTTTGTCCAACTGCATTATATCCAAGCCACTACCTAGTTACTGTACTCCACTAAATGTTTTTACTGAGCACAAGTTTGGAGAATTCTTTCCCTCTTGCTCCCCATCAATACAACTCACATTGAGTATAAGCTTCCCTTCTAACTGTTTTATAGCAAAAGTAAATGTGATAAGTTTACTTTCCCTAGTGTGAGGCAGGTAATCTAGGGAAAAAACGAAAAGGATAAGGAAAAAGGTGTACAACATAAAAATTTTTAAGCAGCATTGTGATTTTGCTCTCACCCTTTGGTTAGTGACATGGGAAAGAGGAGATAACGATTTAAATTCATGGCCTAAAGACTTCCTTTCTAATATTATTATCTGAACATATTGAAGTGGCACTTTAGAGGTAGAAGTTGCAGAAACTTAAAACCAAATAATTGGTTCTTTCCATAAAAAATAACTATCCTTTTTTCATTGGTAATGGGAAACTTCATAAAAATAAAAAGAAGATTACATATATATACAAGAGGAGTAATAACCATATAAGATTGGTCATATCCTCACCCAAAAAGTTACAAAAGTGACCTAATACAAGTATAAACAGTGAGAGCTGCTCCTAATATAGCTTAATCTAGTCAACTCTCCTGCTTCCCCCCCACCCCCTCCCCAAGTCAACGAATAAGCAAGGTTCTTGCCAGATCTGCATCTCTATGGACCATGACATTTACACTGATAACAAGAGATCTAGCCTCCATGATGTGATATCTATTCTTACATCCAGTGTGAACTTCCTTTCTGAATATTTTCTCCTCCAGTGTAAAGACTATGGTCATATAACGCATATACACCAGATCATCAAGTTTGAATATGTAACACTACCATATCTATATGTATCTACATGGTGACTCAAAAGTTGTGCCTTTACAATATTACATCTCTGAATAATTATATAATAGACATGATACATTGTTATTGTGGCACAACCTATAATAGTTCAACATTTCTACCCTATACATGTTGCATATGCTTATAAATTAATATCATTTGGGAAATCAAACTCCTGTGGTTATTGTGGATTTCATGAAAATTCTTCCGGGCAAATATCACAAGTCAATGACCACACATTAAACAGTCAATGAAGTTGAGATATGGTCCAAAAAGAATTGTTCAACATCTAAAATCACATTGGTGAAACATTTGGAACAAAGCCCAATACATGAGATGGTGCATCAAATTGATGTCCAAATTGACAAGTATATTTGGCTTTACATGTTTTCTCTTTTATGTGTAGGGTTGAATTAAGTATCAAAATTTCGAACTTCAATTAGTACCCAGTAATTAAAGGCGGTCTGCATTCCAGGAGGCAAGTTCATTTTATAATATACTTCCTTTTCAAGATAGAATTAGATATCAATGGTTGAAAGGTTTTGATTTTATATCATATACAAATGTATAACAGCTTCAGTCAAATTCTTTTTTAGTTTAGTTGTCTGAGGCTCTGTTTCATTTTTATTCTTTATTTCCTTCTCAGTTTGGTTGTCTGAGGCTCTGCTTTTTTCCTCTTTGTATGTTGTTCTTCTCCTATCTTATTTTCGTCTCTTATGTTCTTTTTCTTGTACCCCTATTACATGCTTTTCTTCATAATAAATTACTCTTATCCATTGAAAAAATGAAAAAATGAGGATTCTAAAACTCATAATTTCAATATTTTGACACAGTACTTGACAATCTACAAAACCTTACCAGTGAATGATTGCCTTCGTAGGAAGAAGGATAAACATCATTAGTTGTATTGATATGTATGACTCTTGATGCAGCTTGGTCTCGAACAAAAGGATGCTCCAATAACTGTGCAGCAGTAGGACGTGCAGATGGATCTCTCTGCAGGCAGAGCTTCAAAAAGTTCTTTGCATCATTAGAAAGGTGATCTGGAATTTCAGGGGTATCTTTGCTGTTTCCAATTTTAAATATTGCAGCCACCTGTCAGTTCCAATGAAAGAACATAGTATTAAAGTATGGTCTCACAAGAAATTAACGTTGTCAAATAAACCAAGGAAATTCAGTACGGTACCCCTTCGTATTGGCTCCAAGGTGGTTTTGTTGTTGCCATTTCAAGAATTGTACACCCAAGGCTCCAAATATCAACAGCAAGACTGTATCCGTTACTACTATTCATTATAACCTGGATAGAGTACATTGGAAAGGGAGGTTAAGGTTGGTGAGTATTATAGACATGAAAAATGAAGAAAATGGTGCAAAAAAAAAAACGAAATTCTAAATTTAAATACCTCAGGTGCCATCCAGTAAGGACTTCCTTTAAAAGAAAGCACTGAAGAATATGATGTAATCTGCTTAGAAGGAAACAGAAATGATCATCCCATTGGTAAATGGATAAACTAGAAAACTGATTACCTTATTCTACACGAACATAATTATTTGGCATAACATATTCAAGCATTAGGCCTTTATTTAACTTCTCTATTATATATCTTCATTTTATCTACGAATATATTTCTAGTTTTCTACTAGCACCTCTGGACATAATATGGCAAACAAGAACAAAAGGACTTACGTGTTTGGCCATGCCAAAGTCTGCAAGCTTGATTTCACCATTAGGATCTACAAGTATGTTGGCTCCTTTAATATCTCTGACAGGTTAAACATTTTGTTTAAGCTTCTAAAGATGGAAAGTGGAAGAATTAATGACACAAAGGAATTCCTTAGCAACAGAACTAATGTAATAATCAAGTACCTGTGTACATGATTCCTTCCATGCAAGTAGGCAAGCCCTGAAAGAATTTGTCTAGTGTAATTCTGAATAACAGGTTCCCTGAACGGACCATATTCCTGAAGTAATTTGTGTATGGAGCCCCCGGATACATACTCCAAATAAACTGAGAGCGTTTCTTCTCCCTGTATACATTAACTCTTCAGGATCATTCCAATTTTCAGGGCTCATTAATTAGGATATACAGAGTGAAATTGGTCCCCTATTAAATATAAATATTGGGTTAATCCTACATTGAGACGGTTAAGGAGGCTTGACATATGATTTGAATGTATTCTTTTCATATAAATCCAGTTGTAAATACCTTTCAGTTAAAACAATGACAAGCACAATTCAAATGTGCAAAGGTTTGGCCAATCAACTTGTCCTAGCTGTGAGCAGGTCACTCTTCTAATCCTGTTCTTCATCATATGGTTTGTGCATGTGAGAACTGTACTATATAAGTCCATATTGAGACCTATTGTACAGTAGAAAAGTATGAAATATGAAACCTAAGATTTCCATCCAGTTCAATGCTGAAGCATAAATGATCATGGGGTGTGAATCAGAATGGGTAAAGCTAGAGCTTGTCAGAACATGGTGCTCTCTAATCCAGAGTTTCTGGTCTCATTAACGTATCACATACCTCAAACCTGACAAGGATTAGATGATTAAACACCTCCCCGAAAAGGAAAAAAAAATAGTATGGTTTATACAGTTATAGGTAAATGCATCATGCTACCAACATTTTAAAATAATCAATGAATGTTCTATGCTGGTAGGAGATTATATGTATGATAGCAACACAAGTCTTCTGAACACGGAGAGGTTTTCCAACTGAAGTCAGAAAAGAATAATTGTACTTACCAGTTCACTTCCATAGTACTGAACAATGTTTGGATGTGAGAGCTGACTAAGCAATGATATCTCCTGCTTCACACAAATAAAGCGAGTTAAATTACTGTAATAGCATTGAACCACATAAAAAGTTAAAACAAGGGTACTTTAGTTACATGGGCACATCCTGTTTCTGATATAATAATCATGCCCTAAGGGTACTTTTTTCTATGCAGAATAATACTTCTGACTAATCAGATATGTATGTGTGTGCACGAGGGAGAGAGAGACCTGATTCAGTTGCCTGAGACATTCTTTTGAGGTATGATCATCAGAAATGACTCTGACTTCCTTTATAGCACACATTTGTCCACTCTCACTGTTATAATACATGTAGAATATGAATGGAGATTAATAAATGATTTTTTTCTCTTCATGTACTAACATAAATTTCTTTTTGTTTCTCATTCCTACTACTGATTGTTTATCTCTTGCTAAAGAAAAGATGTAACCAGTTCAGAACTAATAAATAGTTACGTAGGAATTTTAGTGAAAATAGGCTCAATAAGAGGAATTACTGTACCTATTAAATCCAAGATAAACATGCCCAAATGTCCCCCTTCCTAGAAGTTTTCCTTTCTTCCAAGTTGATCTAAGACTATGTGCATGTTCAAAGGCTCCACTACTTCTTCTGGTGGGTGAGGCACAAGGGTTGGTAGGAGAACCTGGAGGAAGTGGCAATGGATGACATATACTCCTCCCATCTTCTGGCCTCCCTGTTGCAGAGTCTAGACTAATACCAAACAATCGTTGATGCAAAGGTGATGAAGGAGTGGTGGGGGTGGCTGCTCTTGATCCTGGACCTGGACTTCTTGATCTTTGGCTGACTTTAGTTTCACCATGTGCTCTGGGATTCCCATACAAAACACTTCTGTTAGTAAACATTAGAGAAGCATAAATGAAATCATTTGCGTGGAAGTTTTAAAGTTTTCAGTCTAAGAACAATGGATCCATCACCCATGTGCTTGACTTCTTAACAGAGAGAACGAAGTTAGAGAATTTTATCTGAAACTGCGGTAGATTTCATGCTTAGAACTGCGATATACAAACTGTTTCAATTGTTTCAAGGATTACTCAACGCAAGGTTCTAAAACTGGGAACCTATCAAGGTTTCAGTTCACAGTCTAGTTTCATTCTCTGATAATAAGTCAAGCACATAGATCCATCACTCTTTAAGATTGGAATGTTTACAACTACGAAATTCATAATCAGAAAACCCAAATTGAACAAAAAGAGAAACCGTCGAAATGAGCAAAAAACTCTTTAGCAAACATAAGATTTGGCAGCTGAAATTCATATAACAAAAGTATTGTAGTGAAAATTAGGAAATAAGACCAGCTTGATTGGTAGGAAAAGTCTACTAGTGTTAATATCACATATAAATGCCGGGTTGGTTTAATAGAAAACATGAGAGAAACAGAAAATTAAGGGAAATTTCTCAAGGAATTTTCTGATCCATGAGGCTGAAGCCCCCAACCGGCTTACAGATCTAAAAGAGAAAAAAGAAGAGGAAAAAGGAACATGTAGATAAAAGAAAACAGGAAATTCCCTATTCCCTTCCGGAAAATGAGAACAAAACGAAAACAAAACAAAAAAAAAAATATGAAGAGATCAAAAACAGGACACAGATGAAAGTCAGATAATATGAACAAAAAACGATGAAAGCAAGATAAAGAGCATGAAAAAAGGAAATCAAACGCCATATCCACATCTTCAGAGAAAAGAAGGGGGAAAACAGACACTAATCAACCATGACTTTGCAGGAACCAAATTGATATATACTAAACTTTGAGAAATTTTCAGGAAACAAAGTCCAATACTATGTCTTCATACCAGTTCATTATCATAACAAGTGATCATCTTCTCCAACAGAAATAACCCACCAATCAACTAATCAGCTAAAATTCGAATCACAACCTACGCCTCTTGACACAGACAACAAACCCACATGAACATCCTCAACAAAAACCAATCTTTCAAACCTTTTCATGACAAACAACCCCCTGAAACCACAAATTCCAATCCAGACAGCAAAGCAAAAGGAAGAAGGTCGAGACACCCACCTGTAACCACCAAATAACCCAAGATCAGGAGCCGGATCATCGGAAGACCCAGATGAGCTGATACTCGAGACCGACCCAGACCCAGACCCACCTCCATGATCAATCCCTAGAAACGGCGGCGAAGACGACACCGACGGCCGAGGCAAAGGATGGCCCCTCCTCTCCGCTACACCAACATGGCCATCTGAATCCGAACCAAAAGAAGACCCACCAAAGCCACCGGCGGCAACCACAAAATCCTTACTAGTCCTGGCCGAATCACGAGCTATGAAGACGGTCGCCGCCTCATCCAAACTCTTGGATTTCTCCTTCCCCTTCTTATCGTTCTTGATTTCCAAACCTTTGCTATAATTCTGCTTGCTCTCTTGTTCCTTCAGTTGCTGCTGTTGTTCTACCTTGCTGCTTTTCTGAGACTTTCTTCCCCACCAAGCAGGCATTTTTTTGTCATCCAGACACAGATACAGAGATAATAGATAGAGATGCAGAGAAAGTTTTTATTTGCTTTGTCCTTCCCTTTCCTTTTCCGCAATTCCGCCTCCAAATTATATATTGTGTATATATTTCTTGTAGAGAACAACAGATTGAGATAGAAAGTGAGTGAGACACAGACTTGAGAGAGATATCAAGAGGGTAGGCTTAGCTACAGTCGGTTACAGCTCAGCCAGATGGACCGGCGGGCAGTGGTTTGATGAGTAACCAGTGATGACGTGGCGCCGTAGAGAGAGAAAGTGTGTAGAGAGAGAGACAGACAGACAGAAAGTGGGTATGCAGTGTATGGATTGTAGGGAATGCTTGGTGGGAAGAAGAGAGAATCCAAATGGGGGTGTGTGCTTAAAGAGAGAGAGAGAGAGACCGCGTCGGCGCGTGCAGAGTAAGGAATGCTTCCTCTGGACCGGGCCGACCTCTGTTGTGTTGTTTGTGTTATTTCTGAAAACCTTCTGAGCCTGAGATGGAATCATTGAAGGAAGGAGGCGTGTGTGTTGGGCCGCTGGATTTGGTGTCATCATCCGGTGTACTACGTCCTTTCTTTTTTAGTTATTTCTTTTGACGTGGCAGCTTTTTATAGGTTAGATCCATAGACCCTTGCGCACGTGCAGATGAATGAGCCTGTTGTAGAGTTCGTTTTGTGGGTCCTACTAATTAGCTTTCTTCATGACCGTTCGATCTGATGATTTGATCTTATCTCAATACGGCCCATTATCTAAGTTCATTCTTATCTTCTTTTCCTATGGACAGTGATCACAAACGGGGCACATTCCTGGTATGGTGGGAGAGCATACACCGAAAAGGACAAAAGTCAATTTATTTTTACAGGGGTGTTTTTGTCTTTTCATAGCATCCAAATTCTTTTCCATGTTTATTCTCATTCTTATCCGGTTCATACTACTGTAGTGAAATGGTGCACGAATCGGGTCAACCCGTTTAGCATGGGTGTCATGGGTACATTTTCTAATATTTGGTATTTTTAGATATTATTCATATTAAATTATGAAATTTAATTATTCACTTCACAAAATTAATTAAATGTGATTAAAACTAATGTTAAATACTTATTTTGTTTTTGTTTGAAGAGAATTATTTGCATATGCAATTTAATTGGAGCATAAATCTAAAAATATTACCAAAAACATGAAATAACCAATAAGGATTTTAGTTTGTATTAGTGAAAATTTGACTCTTTGAATTTTATAGACAAATAATAATCTCAATATATAACTCCTGATTAGTTTATGGAAATTCCACATATAATTGCTTTCAGAGTTATATGATTCTTTGAAGAAGTCTGAATTGAGACAATTTTAGTTTAACTCAAAAGCTGAAGTTGGTTAGTAGTTTTTCCTTTTTAACTTTTGTGGAAAGCATAAACAAGAATCTTGTCTAAGATATAAGTTTCACTGATTTCTTTAAGGGCAAATTTCTTAAACTACCTCTATAATTTAGGAAATTAACTAATTAAATCTCTATTGTTTTAGTATTGTCTTAAAGTATTTTTACTGTTTTTAACAATTGACTAAATCTTTCTTATCGTAAGTGTCTATTAGCAGAAGGCTTAAAAAGATTATTTTGCCCTTCATTCAAAAGCTCAAACTCCTTATTCAGAAAGACATTATTGACGATCTTCAAGCTCTTTGGTTCCAATAAATACTGAGGATGACCGGCCTTAAAATCTCAAGGGTTGTGATCAGAGACGAAGAATAGGTTGAGGTGGAGGGGGCCGAGCAACAATTGTGGTGCTCAAGAATGGAGACTAGGTCTTGGGAGCAGCTAGGCATTTGAAGGACTTGGGTGAAGGGGGATGAAACAGATCGGCAAGGGAGATGAAAACAGAAATTGCCCTTGTCCCCTTCCTCCTTCAACCTCTCTCTCTCTCTTCCCTCCATCTTTCTCTTTCTTCCTGTTCTCCTTTTTCTTCTTCAAATTTGCCCTTGTTATTTCAGGTTTCTCTTCTTGAAAACCTAAAATTTTCATGAACTTGATTCTACCGTTCGGAGCAATGGTGCTTTAAGAGGAGGTGGAACTCAAAGTTCTTTCTGTTGGACACATTTGCTGCAACCTCTCCCCGATGTTTATTTGTAGACTCTTTTTGGGCATTAAAGAAACAGTTGCCACTGGAACCGGATACCCACGCTAACTTCAATCCAACCGCTCTTGCTTCGGGACGAGGCCGGCCAATTCTTCGAGGAGGCGGAACTCAGAGCATCTGATAATGAATGGACTCCGAGTTCCACCTGACAATGAAATGTGGGAGATCAAACTGATCAGTGGCTTTGCAAAATCATGAATGGATTTTGACGCGGCCTTGAGAGCATCTGACAATGAATTTGGGGAGAAGTTCCTACCTTCCTGAGCATTTTCTTCCTAGAAAGCTTTCTGCTTGAGCTTCTCACTCAGACCAGAGAGTGATGGGGGAAAGAGTGGCCAAAAACCGTCAAGATGTATGCTGGAGATAGGTGAGAACACTGAGAAAGTACCGCTGCTGTGTGTTTACTGTTCTCATCAAGAAGACGATGAACATTGACTGAACAAAGGGGAAAAGAAGAATGGGTGGTAAATGGAAGAGAAAGAATGGAGGAAAGGACGATAAAATGGAGAGAAAACAGATGGAGGGGAAGAGAGTACTTCTAGTTGCCACCGCCATGCTTTCATTTTGATATTGAAGATGATGAACAATAACTTCAGCGCATTAGATGTGACCGCCAGAATGAACGTTGACGCCGAAGAAGAATGTGGATTCCGAACTCGTTCTAGACTCTTGGGCAAGAGATGGAGACAGAAGGATAGAGAACAAGGATTGAGGTCAGAGAGGGTCGAAGCGGAAATGGGATTTGGGTGATTGCCAATATCCTCCTCCCACCAGAGAACTCTACGGCCATTGAAGAAGATAAAACAAAAAATTAAAAAGATAAATGTCTTCTATGGAGTTGAATGTTCTAGTTGCAGTAGGGAAGAGATGAGCTTCGCAAAATCATGTACAGGAACCTCATGACCGGAGAATAGATGTTCAGATTGTTGGCTTCTCATTCTCCGGTGTTGCCTTTTCAATCGTTCAAAATCGTCGACGCTGATAGGCAGGGAAAGCCAGAAAGGGCATTTTGGGTATAATTTAAAATTGACGTAAATTGTCAAAAATATTAGAGATACTAAGACAATATTAAAATAGTAAAGATATAATTAATCAATTTCTTAAACCTTAGGATAGTTTAATAAATTTTCCCTTTCTTTAAATACCAAAATGCCTACCATTATTCTAAGAGAAGAATCTTGGGATTAATTTTAAGGACAAGGGCTCTTTTCCAATAATAAAAATACAACTGTCATGTTTTTTAAAAGCAATTTTGTTGATGGGACAGTTGTTTTTGTTTTAAAAAACAAAGCCATTTATGCATGTTAGCAACCCCATTTGCATAGAGACCGGATCTTCTCCTCATCTAGGGAGTTTCACACGCAAATCCTACCATTAATTGGGAACATCTTCCATACTTATAACTTATTATTCATGTGACATGTTCCAAATGCAGGGTGGATGTGCATGTAAGGTGCCCAAATGTAAGGAGCAGATCATGTTCCATTGGCATATCCCATTTTTCATTTTGATAGAGAACGGGGTGGGGTTGGGGCACCCTTCACCTTACCCAAAATCCCTTGCCCCATCCCTGTCTCATCTTTGATGATAGGGTAGGTTCGGAGAAGGGGAATCCTCAATTTTTTTTTTTTTAATGTCGAAACAATCACTTAAAAATACATAATATTTGAAGGCATTTAAAAATTTGAGGTATTTTAAAAAATTTAGGATATTTAAAAAATTAAATATTAAATCTAAGCATATTTTGAGACCAAGGGAAACGGTCTAATTTGGGGCGGGACTCGGGAGTGGTGGTGCGGCTCCAGTTTTATGGGGGGGAATTGCCCGTCCAGTGTTACTTTCTCAAATATTAGAGTGGTTGGGATAGTTTTCTGGGTCCTACGTGGCTAAAAATGGCTGTAACCAATGGCAATATTCCAAATCAACTGGTGGAGAATTGGAGATGCATGCATGGATGTGTGCATTAATTATGTGTAGCACAAGCACACTCATCATTTATTTGTACGATGTAGAAAGCTTCAACCAGTCTGTTTCAGGTTTCAACGCAAAAAAAAGCACCGAGGCAATTTTGATTTCAGCTGATGAATGATGAATCACTGTATTTTATACCCAAAATTGCTCCGTCTTTTACCGTGAAAACTTTGTCCACTTTCTCCTCTTTTACGGTGAATACTTTATTTTACGCCCCTCTTACGTTCCAAACAAACAGAAACAGTCTGTCTCTGTCAGTAGTTGAAAAACACGGCAAATTACCAGCCTTCTGCCACCTCCAATCATCCAATACGGTCTCTTGCTTTACAATTCTTCCATGAGATGAGAAACCTCATGGAAGCTGCAACAAAATGAGCCCTCAGCGTCCCATTTTTGTCCCAGTTTTTTCTGGGGCGACCGTCTTACCCAGAATGGGGAATTTTGTGGCGCTTTCTGGTACCCAAAAAGAAAAAAACGAAAAACGATATGGGTCAATGGATGAATAGCTAGCTTTGGAAAATGAAAACGAAGTTGTTTTTTTCTTTCTTTTTTAATCGGGTCAAATTTTGTCCCCTTGTTGCGCCCATCTCTGCTTCACGTGATGAAAGTATAAAACCCTCTATTGACCTCTAATGTTTTTGCATCACGGCAGCCGTCACCTTCGCAGGATTTACATTATCAGGGTTGAGTACTTTGAGTTTTGTTTTTTATTTATTCCGGTAACGCAGTGAAGAAGTTTTGGTTGATTGGGAAGGCTAATTGATCTGGTAAACTTAGTGAAGTGGGGTTAGGGTTAATTTAGTTTTGTAAACTTAGTGCTTTTTTTACCAATTGTAGAAGTCAGATTTGGGTTAGACTTCCAGTATTATTTAATACAGAAATGTCCAAAGTCAACCAAGCACTGAAACTACAACCACAGCCTTTCTCCCAAGAAATCAAGTTGTCTTTCTCTCTCAAAATCTCAAAGGGAAAAGATCCATTGCTTGTTGATCAAGTATAATTAATAGATGCCACACAACTCTCTATTAATTAACAGAATGATCTTGATCATCATGGGATTGAGGAGATGGATGGATGTTTGTTACTTACCCCTAATCTACAACCACATTAGTCTTTTGATACAAACGGGCAAAAAGCAAATTTGTCAATGCCCATTTAGCAACGGTACTTTCAAGTACGGTATGGTGTTTGTATTTAGGGCTAAATTTGGAAGTAGAATAAATAGAAATATGTAATGTATAAATAGATACAAAATATAAGGTTTTGTACTTTATTTGCACTCCTTGCAAGTTAAGCTTAATAGTATTTTAAATCAGGCAGACAG